GACCATCTTACCCTGTCTTGGCAGAGTACAGTGGTCGCTTTCCTTGTGTCCCGCTTTTTTTTTTTTCTTTTGAAACCAGAACATTTATTTTATGACTGACTGAAATTCCTCAAGATGAACTGGATGCTGCAACAGCTGTCCTCTTGGGTTTAGGTGTTGTCCCTTCACGGAATCCATGTCTGAATCTTCGATAGACAATTTTCAGGTGCCTCATCTGCCCAGTCGCGGTAGTGTTTCGTCTTTTAGCCTTTGCACTCCAGTTATACTTTCTCTTGCGCTTGGCCGGGTAGCCACACTTGCCACAGGTCGACTTCTGAAGGTGGTAGGCCTTGGAGCCGCAGCGGCGGCAAAGCATGTGCGTCTTGTTGCGACGCTTTCCAAAGGATGACGTCCCTTTCGTAATCTTGCTGCTGCCGCTGAGGCCAAAGAGACCGGAAGAGGCAGCACTTCTGCTACTTGCTGTATGTCTGTGAGGGTTCAAATCCCACTCCTGACACCAGGGCTGGAGAGATGGCAGAAATGGCAGAGATGGCAGAAATCAGAGCTAGCACTCCCCTGCCTCTTTCGCTGGTCTGGGGCTAAGCTAGGGAATTGAGATCGGACTAGCTGCTCCCTTTTTCGGGAATGGAACCGTGTAGGTGTTCCCTGGTTATATGGAACTTTGCAGGCGGGCTTAGGTACCTGCCAGCTAGGGAGGAGAGGGCTGGAGCTGCCCAGGCCTTTGGAGTTTGCCCCACGTTGGGCGCCAGATATTGGAGAAATTATTTCGGCCACTCCACGTAGTTAAAAGGATATTTATTTAATGGAGTAACTCACAAATTAAGTGAAAGGTAGGTCTCAGGGTCTGGGGAAGGTGTATTGCAATTCAGCGGTGTTCTCCGGAGCTCTGCACAGTCCACCTTCACCATTCAGCATCCCAGCATAGAGAGAGCACACAGAGAGAGCGCTGGCCCATCCAGCTCTCGGGTCTTCAGGCGCCTCCCCTCACCCCGCCTCGTAGGTATGACAGTTGCCAGAGTCTCAATGGGGGTTGGAACTTCCAGATCTAAGCTGGAATGGCTACCCACTACAGGGTGGATTTGGGAGAGAGGGGAGGTGGGAGAGGATCTGGGAATTATGGATGGAGGGAAGCTGTGGTCAGGATATACAGTATGAGAGAAAAATAAATAAACTGCAAAAAGATTACTAAGCATCAACAAAGGATCATG